AGATAGATCAACAAAACTGTGATACATAGATAGATAGATCAGGAATAAACTGTCCACATAGATAGATAGATAGATAGATAGATAGGAATAAACTGCGATACATAGATAGATAGATAGATAGGAATAAACTGCGATACATAGATAGATAGATAGATAGATAGGAATAAACTGCGATACATAGATAGATAGATAGAAATAAACTGAGATACATAGATAGATAGATAGATAGATAGATAGATAGATAGATAGATAGATAGATAGGAATAAACTGAGATAGATAGATAGATAGATAGATAGATAGATAGATAGGAATAAACTGAGATAGATAGATAGATAGATAGATAGATAGATAGATAGATAGATAGATAGATAGGAATAAACTGAGATAGATAGATAGATAGATAGATAGATAGATAGATAGATAGATAGATAGGAATAAACTGCGATAGATAGATAGATAGATAGATAGAAAATTAAATCCAAAAATTGGGGTCGTATTATACACAAGTACACGTTTTCAGAAATGTTTACTCACATTACAAAACCCCTTAAACAGTAAGATTGCAAATACCCTCAGCACAATAGATAAGACACAAAACTGTCAGGTGTTGATAATAAATGGATTTGATATGTTGTCAATATTTGTTCTTTGATAAACAACCCATTGTTTAAAATTAGGACAATTTTGTTCATACGATAAAATTTGTTTATATCGGATTTTCCTAATGTTTTTTTTTTATGGTTTTCTCTCTTCCTTCTTAATGAAAGACAATATTTTATTTTCCTAGTTTATTGATATATAGAAATATAATGAATTCATATAAAAAAAAATTAAGGCATGATTGATTAATTAACACCTGAAATGTTTTACGGGGAGGTCTAGTTAGCACCTTTCCGCGAAAATTAGCCTTCTTGATGTGATTGGAATATCCAACTGAACCCTTTATTTCGTCCACCGAGATGGAGTGTTCTAGTTCCACGTACCATGCCCCTTCCGGATGTCTCAGTTATCTCCCTTTAATTTAACTCTTCAAGTTTTTGTTCACCGCTGGCGTGACCTGGTATTGAACTCACAACTCTTTGTGTCAAGTCACTGGATCCAAACCAACGCTTTTATACACTGGACCATGTGTCCTGCAGTGGTGAACAAAATCTTGGAGAGCTGAGTTAAAAGGAGACAACTGAGACATCCGGAAGAGGCATGGTACGTGGAACTAGAATACTCTACCTCGATGGGCGAAATAAAGGGTTCAGTTCAAAATTCCAATCACCTGAAGAAGGCCGAAGCGCACAACGGTCGAAACGTCGTGAACAGGACAACAAAGCCTGAGGACAACAGTCCGGAAAATGTAAATAATGCAAACTATTATTTCCCAAGTGCTTCTGTCTAGAACACTAAGGAACAGACAATAATTCTCTTCAAACTTTGCTTTTGTAACCTGGACATTGATGTTTTGAAACTAACGCATTTTCCACTACATTCCAGACTGATTCAGCGCTAATGGGGAAATTTTCAAAAAATTTCTAGAAGTTTCAAGAGCTTTAGATAAGTTTCAAGATTTTCTAGAACGTTCTTGCAACATAGATAGCATTATAATTACAGGGAGCGTAAGCTCAACAATTCATTTTAGTTCTAGCTGTGCAAGTGAATCGTCGTTAATAGATGCATTCATGGCATGGACAGATTGTAAGCATCTGGCAGACGCAATTTGCTATGGCGGTGGCGAATTTATCAAGACAAGAGTGAAAATAAAGTCTGCTAAAATATGTGAGACCTACTAGCCATATTTCGGCATGCCTGTCGGGGGTCAAGACAAACCATGGGCACTTCCTTTCAATTGCAAACTCTACAGAACTGAAGAAGGTACACCCTTGTGCAAATTAATTGAAACAACCGCTTGAGTTTCCTTTCTTTCACATTATGGCCAGTTTTAGACCCACTGGAATGAAAGGGTGTAATCGATTTCTATTTCTTTCCTCAGATTCAGATTTGCAGTGGTGTGCAGTAATATGAATCTATTTTCGGGGTGTATGATGAAATTTTCATGACCTTGAAAAATATTGCGTCATCCATGATTGCATCAGATTTTTATCACGCACAGACGTTATTGTCTCGACTGTCAATTAGTTGTCCTAAGGCTATTGTCTGCGATGGGCGTTATTCTAAGGAAGCGTACGTAGATTGTAACGCTGAGCCAATAAACCCGCAAGCCTTATCAGTGAGCAAATCAAAGTAGAATAGATTTACCCGGAAACTATCCTGATTTAAATCCAATCGAGAATCTGTGGTCATTTGAAAAAAATACAAAAAATTAAATAATAACCGGAATTAGTCGTTTTGTTTCAATTAAGTTGCACAAGGTTGTAGATGATCATGGCCCTTCACATCTTCCTGTATAATTAATTTGCACAACGGTGTAAGACGGAATGTTTTGGTTGTTTGGATGATGAAAATTTAATTGTAAAAATTTTGGAATTTTTTTTTTTATTTACTAATTTTTTTACTTTTTTTAAACAAGTGTTATTGAAAAATATGTATTAAATATGTTTCAACTATCGTACATTACTGTCCGCAGTATCAAGGTTGTTTTCTATAATGGAATATTGGCAAGCCGTGAAAATACGGAATCTTATCATATTCCGTATTTTTGCGACATTTGCTACATTAGTAAAAATTAGTCAAAATTATAATATATACTCAGCGTGCGATTCTTAGAAATTAAGAAAATCAAAAACACTAGGTAAAATATATTTGAACTTTTATACTCATAGAATTAATTTGCACTATTGCAGGACCGTACAGATCCAGGACATTTCCCTATCATACGAATTTGAATGGGACTAACTGACCTCTGAAGCAATTGCTTCTTCTGCATAGTGGACCTTTTCCAAACGTTGGTCTGGCAAGAATGCGCGTGGGAACATATATCGAGGCATTCTGTCATCCATCTCCCCAGGGCCACATTGGCCTTAGCTCACCGAATCTACTCCTTCAAATAAAGAACGAAAGAGAGAGAGTGCAAACGTTGAGCGAGCAAGAATGCATTTGCTATCATATATCCAGTCCTGCCATCCATCGCTCCAGAGCCACATTGCTCTGAGCTCCCCGAATCCTCTTTCGAAGAGAAGGAGAGAAACTAAACATTGAGCTGGCAAGAATGCGTTTGCTATCATATCTAGACCCTCTCTCATCCATCGCCCCAGAGTCAATTTGTTCCCAGCTCCCCGAACCTACTTCTGAAAAGAGAGAGAGAGAGAGAGAGAGAGCAGCCGTCTACAGAAAACAACTGAAATCCAGTAGGGGATGAAGACATTGATCCCAATTGCAGAGAAGTGTCAGATAGGGTAAAGCCATACGGTATCGAGCATAAAGACATCAACGACCTGATCAGAGATCTTGGTTATAGAAAGTCCGAATGTCGAGCCTTTGACGTCGAGACTCAAGCAGTGAAATTTGTTAGATGAAAATGTGAAAGTCGCAGGTCAGAGAAAGAAGTCTTTTTCAAGCTTCTTCATCCGTCAAGATGGGGTTTGAGTCCGTCACAAGGTGACCGGTCTGTTGAGGAAACTGGAATCGCTTGTACCTCCAGCGAGTGACGTTTCTTCGTCGACAACTCATCCTAAGGTTTCAAAGCCGTTCTGCTTCCTAATGGGTGTTACAATTTTTGGATACATTAGACAAGTGAGCCAACTCAAATGACTTGACTCACTTTATAGTCCACCAATAGAAGGTTAACCAATCAGAAGACGTAGAATATTCAATCCGTCGTGTATAAAGGCGGCCATTTTGTTCACTCTATCCGAATGTCCAGTGCAAGCTTGTCAGGCGAAGAGGAACAGAAGGAATAATTACACACTGCTACTTTACCGGGATATCCACTGCTAACCTGAACTACGCTTCCCTACTGTCTTCGAAATATTCACTGCTAACCTCTGGATCCTATACTCGAAGACGACCGTCATCATGACCAACAATGGTTATGAGCCCAGCACGCTTTACGATACATGTAAAGCGTGCTGGGCTCATAACCATCGTGTGAGCCTGGGATCTCTTCCCCTGGCTCACTCACGGTGCAGTCCAAAGAGGAATACAGCAGTTTCAAGATCTTACTAGATGTCTTGAAATACAGAGAATACGTTTGAAAGTTTACCGGAGACTTGACAATGATGCCTTTCCTGGTGGGTCGCCAAGGCGGCTTTTCTAATTTACCGTGTTATCTTTGCCTTTCGGACTGGAGGGACACTGCAAAACACTACCACATACGGGAGTGGTCTCAGGCGACAGAGTTCAGTGTGGAGAAGAACGTCATCAAATGAGAGCCACTGTTGAACACGAGGAAAGTATTGTTTCCGCCCTTACACTTAAAACACTGGGCCTTATGAACATTTCTCAAAGCTCTAGAATTTTCAGTTTTAAAGTACCTTCAAATATTTCTTCTCTAAGATGTTTGCAGCCGGTGTCTTCGTCGGACCACAGATAAAGAACATGCTAGGAATTTCAAAAGACGCTCACTAGGACGAAGAAAGCGGCGTACAACAATTTTGTCGCGGTGGCTTAGGGCTTCCTGGGCAATCACAAAGCCGAAAATAATGTGGAACTTGTTGAGAACCTGGTGAGGAACTGCGGCAAAATGCTGCATAGAATGTCCTTCAAAAACCTTATACTCGATGCTCACCTTGTTAAATTGAAGAACAACATGGTGGCATAATCAAAGGAGTAAGGTGAGCGCTTCCATCAGGACATAGTGGGCTTGGAACGCCGCTATCAAGGATCGTATAACGAAAGAATGATGGGTGACTATATTGAACGGCTGATTCGAGTAAGTAATTTACTGCATAAGTGTAAATCGCAAAGAACTAGTGACTTCAAATTTTTGTGGTCTCTCTGGTGTAATTGTGGAATAAATAAACGCTACTTTTGTCTCATGTCGTTTTGTTTCTAATTTGCATGAACGGGAATGTTCACATTCATCAGTTTTCCCAATGGGAAAAGGTAAATTTCAGAAATGTCCGTATTCTGGTCTTTTTGATAGATAGATAGATAGATAGATAGATATGGGATGACTGAGATAGATAGATAGATATGGGATGACTGAGATAGATAGATAGATAGATATGGGATGACTGAGATAGATAGATAGATAGATATGGGATGACTGAGATAGATAGATAGATATGGGATGACTGAGATAGATAGATAGATATGGGATGATGAGATAGATAGATAGATATGATGACTGAGATAGATAGATAGATAGATAGATAGATAGATATGGGATGTCTGAGATAGATAGATAGATATGGGATGACTGATATAGATAGATAGATAGATGGATGAATGGAGATGATAGATAGATAGATAGATAGATAGATATGGGATGACTGAGATAGATAGATAGATAGATAGATAGATATGGGATGACTGAGATAGATAGATAGATAGATAGATAGATAGATAGATATGGGATGACTGAGATAGATAGATAGATATGGGATGACTGAGATAGATAGATAGATATGGGATGACTGAGATAGATAGATAGATAGATATTGGATGACTGAGATAGATAGATATTGGATGACTGAGATAGATAGATATTGGATGACTGAGATAGATAGATATTGGATGACTGAGATAGATAGATAGATATGGGATGACTGAGATAGATAGATAGATATGGGATGACTGAGATAGATAGATAGATATGGGATGACTGAGATAGATAGATAGATATGGGATGACTGAGATAGATAGATAGATATGGGATGACTGAGATAGATAGATAGATATGGGATGACTGAGATAGATAGATAGATAGATAGATATGAATAGACTGAGATGGATATGAACAGAGATAGAAAGAAAGAAAAACTCAATAAAGAGATACATACATATAGACTGAACAGATAGATAGATATATAGATAGATCCGTTCGGATTTATTTATGACTGAACTATAGGTTTTGCCTATGAAATGCTTATGAACGACTTTCTATTCGAATTTGTTTTCTTTTACATCCCTGTGTATTTTTTAATTTGTCTATTTACCCAATTTAATTAGTGTTTTTAGAAAAGAAAAATCAGGCAACATGTTTTTAGAACGTCTGTGTTCACTGGGATGTGTATGTGTCAATTTTATCTCTCTGTACAGCTGCGCATGCGTGTGGAATATGCGTACATTTATGCGCAGCGGTTCCGTCGAGGAATCAGTGTTTAGCCGACATTTTCTTAGATGTTGGAGTTCAGGTTACTCGGTTCATATCGGACTGATAAACGATACTTGTGATGATCCAATGCGGAAAAAAACATGAAAGTGATTTCTTTTTTTTTTAATAATTACTTCACTATTTGTTTATTTTACCTTTCTTGCCATCTTTAACATAGGTTTTTTTTCTTCATTTGTATAACTTTGTGCGCCTTAATGTCGACAATTTTTATCGCCTGGCTCGAGGGGTGCGGGAATGTAGCGTTGGGCAAGGAAACGGTTAGGGAACATTAATTTCGCCGTCTTTTTTTACTACAGCTAATGATACATATTCAAGTCCGCCCAACATAAATTATCTGCGCTTATTAACGTCTCTCCACCATTTTCTGTTTGCTTATCGGATACAAAACTTGTGAGCATGCTCAAAATTTTATAAATCTAAAATCAACCTCATATACATGTAGTCATTCACAGACAGACTGCTTCGCAGCTTATCAGTGTGGCTAGACATGCGATTGCGTCCAATCTGGGATTGAAACCCCACTGATTTGACACTACTCGGAGTCTCTCACACGTAGGCTATCAGCACACGCAGCAGAGAACAGGATTATACAGACATTATATACGAGATTAATTCTCTTTCCTCCAAAGTGCTCAACCTTCGAGAGAGGGCGTATATTGTCATACACAGACAGGTGCTCCTTTCTTCTAAAGTGCTGAACCTGAGAGAGGGGGCTTAAATAATATATATATATATATATATATATATATATATATATATATATATATATATATTAAGGCATAAAAAAGCAAGAAATTTTATATTATACGCCATGATAGATGTAAATAAAAATAAAAACACACACTAGTCGACCGGTTTTGTCCTCTCATCAGAACCGTTAACGGGGAACACAAATTATGAAGAGAAAAAAAAAGTCTGCCATGAATAAATGAATGAGTGGACAGGGAGAAAAAACAGTTCCCTGTTAACAGTTCTGGTGAGAGGGGACGAAACCGGTCGACTGGTGTGTTTTTTTGTTTTTATTTTTAAATCTATCATGGCCTATAATATAAAATTTCTTGCTTTTTATGCCTTAATACGTTTCTGTACTGTTTCAAACATATATATATATATATATATATATATATATATATATATATATATATATATATATATTATTATTATTATTAATGACTAGCCGTTCGTACCTGGGTATGTCTTATTACAGACACATTTGTTTTTGTTCAGCCCCGACAGAGGCAAGTTGAATGCGCGTTATTTGGGGATCAACAGCCTGAACAAGCTCAGCATACTCAATGCCTCGGTCACGATGACGTGCGATTTCGTGCTTGCTCAAATACCAACGGCTACCAAATAATTATGTCTATCCAATTTCACTCACAAGACTTGCGTCAACCCATGAATTTCAGACATTTTCCAAATGTGCCGCAAGATCGACTCTTCTAGAAGTCATGTTCCTGACAAACCGACCATGGTGAGATCCGAACCCCGTTTTCATGGTCGGAAAGTGAATATTCTAACCATTGTGATATATATGCAAAGAAGGGTCTCTAATGTAAACGATCTTGACCTGGCCTCGCGTGGTCATGTGTGACGTCATGAGATGCGGTGCGATTTTCGCTTCTAGTGTCTTATATGCACGTGTTTATCGTTGCTTGGAAATCATCCATGTAAACAGAAACCGACTATCATCACATTCTTGTCCGTGTATTGATTAATATATTATACAGTAATTGACATCTTTATTAATGGCTTACGTAAGCCGAAAGCTTAGATTGGATTAAAAAATATGGATCAATATTGTGATTTTCTTTCTTTGTTTGATGATAATGTTATCAGCTTATCAGACGTTATGAAAAGAATTTACATAAAATAAATAGACAACACTTGTCTATAATATTTAATGAAACATATATATATATATATATATATATATATATATATATAAAGTTTATTTCAGGATATTAAATAAAAAACAGGTTTAAATCGCTACACAGTTGCGATCGAGTTCCCACGCATATCTACTCAGTCGATTGTAAGTGTAATTTGCAATTGCCTACGGAGACGCATTGCTATGCGTCGAAACTATTGTCCTTATATTTGTTGTTTTTATCACAAACTTTCAGCCTTTATACCTCCCGTTTACTGCAAGTGTCTGTTACCCTGAGTCATCTAAAGGAAATATTGTTTGCTTCACCCCCTAATTTAATCAACAGCGTTACATTACTTTTGTTGAGGCATGAAACTGACAGTCAGCAATGTTTCCCCAAAATGGTTTCCCTGTTTTTTTACAAGTGGACAGGATCTAGTTAATTTAAAAAATGGCAAAAAAAGCCATTCAAAAATATATATATATATATATATATATATATATATATATATATAAGACATCACACATTGAGTGCCGGTGTTACTAAAATAGTAGTTGATGTAATATAGTAGTATATTTCATCAACCACTATTTTATTGAAGTATATATAGTATGTAATATCTACTCAGCACCTGAGGATTTTTAACATGTTTCTGATTTAATATCCTGAAATAAAGAATATTTTGCTCTACTCTGTATTGAGCACTCTTTTAAATTAAATGTTACGGACGTTGGAATTGTACTCTATTCGTTTTATTCTTACCTATATATATATATATATATATATATATAAGATTTTTTTTCTAATTTCGAAAATGTTTTTTAAATGTTCTGAACAAGACACATTTTTAATATTATTTACAGATAATATGTTCAATGAAATACAGTGGATTAAACCCCGACCTAACTTAGTTTAAAGTACATTGATATCCTGCTAAATATTAATAAATACATCTAGGATATAAAATTTCAGAGCTCTCGGTATATAACATTTATAAATATGTTTTTCTGAATATAATTAATAATCATTTAATTCAAATTTCTTTGAATTTAAATTTCTTGGTTAATTATATAAAACGCTTACGAAAATCTTTTCGCTAATTTCGAAATCTTTAAAAATGTTCTTTTTTAATATTATTTACAAACGATATATTAAATGTAATATATAGGCATTGAAATTTGGCCGTTGAAAGAACCAGGCTGGATTGTTTCCAATTCACACTAAACTAATTACACTTTATGCACTTCGACCTTCCTCAAAAGACATATTAATGTTAAATCTGAGATCAGTATATCAAAATAAGTCAAAAATCTTTGTCTAGTTCAACATTCTAAATAAGATAACAATATCTCTTGATTTCAACCCGGAAATTTTTTTTTTCCATTTCATTTTTGATTTTCCTTGTAGGTCTTGAAGACTGAAAACTTTTTAGAGCTCTCATGAAATAAAATGTATTATTATGGGATTTAAAGTGTTTGATATTTTTTAATTATATATATATATATATATATATATATATATATATATAATTATTTATTTAAAAAATATGATTCCAACGCTACGTAAGAGATCTCATGTTTCAAAACAAGAGCCGAAAACTGCAATATAATTATTTGAATTTCAATAATGAATATGCTTATAAAACGCGTAAATTTCAGGAATAAGTTATTCAAAAAAAATTTCGCTTGAAGATGGAACAGAGCTTGGTACTTTAATTCAATTTAATTCAAATAATTATATTGAAATTTTCGGCTTATATAGCGTTGGAATCATATTGTTAAATAAATAATTATATTTATGCTCTACTTTTGTATCGAGGACTATTTTTAAAAAAATAACAAAAATACTAAAGAACTCTGGATTATTCACCTAACGAGTTCTTTCCTATTTTCTATATATTTTTCCACACACACATAAGTGCGTAGGTATGCATAAAATAGAAAATAACACATTCGGTGCATAATCCGGGGTTCCTTAGTATTTTTCTTTTTATTTTTAAGAAGACAGTGTTCCATACAGAAGTAGAGCTTTATTATAATAATGTTTTTTGTTTAAAAATATGATTCCTTTGCTACATAAGAGTTCTCATGTTTCAAAAACGAGAGCCGAAACAATCCAAATAATTATTAAAATTAAGTTGAATTGAGGTGTTTAGTCCCGTTTCATCTTCAAGCGAAAATTTAGGAATAAGCTATCTCTCGGTTTACGTGTGTTTTTTTAGGCATGGTCCTTTAGATGCCAGAAATCAGACATCTCTATCCCAATATTTCTGGCATCTAAAAGAAAGGAATAAAACATTAAAAAAACATTGAAACATGAGAACTCTTATGGAAGCGAAGGAATCATATTTTTAAACAAAAATTTTTATTATTATATATATATATATATATATATATATATATATATATATATATATATATATATATATATGAGTAAGCATTGAAGTCAACACTGAGAGGCGACGGGCTGTTCCATGATAAATGCAATCGTCAGGCCGCGAATCTTGGATTTTTCTTCGACTATTTATATATATCGGCCATTGGCGCATTGTGGGTAATCTATTCTGGCGGTTATTTTTGCGGGAATGGCTTTTTTTTATTTATTTATGTATTTGCTTGGTTGATTTAATTTATTTGTTTTTCATTTTCATTTTGTAGTATTATTTTTTTTCGGTTTTTGATGTTTTATTAACGTATTAAGGAAATTGGGAAGGATTTACTTAGGTCGCTTATTTAATAGTTGGTCTTGGTCCGGGAAGATAATTAAGGCTATTTATTCGTTCAATGTTTAGATTGCTTACCGGAGTTTATTCTGTTATTTTGGTGGGGGACAGTTTTTAATTAATTCATTTGTTTATCTTGATTTATTATTTTTACTACTTTTTTACTAATTTATGCTTATTTTTATTAGTTTTAACGGTTATTTTATTAGATTGATTTGTTAATTTCTTCATTTATGTATTTATTTGCATTAATTTTTATTTGTTTTTTATTTATTTACTTATCATTTTATTTTATATATTTTTATTTACTCTATTTGTTTTTTGATTTTTGAGTAACGTAGTAATGTTTTTCATCGTTATATAGCAGTTAGATCTATTTTTACATCCAATTTTTGGATTGGTTGTTGTAGTCTATTCTAACGGTTATTTTAGCTGGATTGGTTTGTTAATTTGTTTATTATTATTTATTTATTTGGGTTGATTATTTTTACTTGTTTTTTATGTATTTTATTTTCTTCTATTTCGTCTATTCTAACGGTAGTGGTTTTGTTAATTTGTTTATTATTTTTGGGGGTTAATTTATTTCACTTGTTTTTTTATATTATTTTGTTTATTTGTATATATTCATTTCAGGTTTCGATTTTTAAGTAAGGTAGTAAAATATGTTTTTATGTCT